CAATTTGAAGGCAGGGATCTAAGGAAGACACAATCATACTTTGGGCTGTGGAGGATCTTAGATCTGTACTGTATTATGAGTCACCCCTCCCACTGCTTGCTCTCTGGCTGTTTATCTTTCTCTTTCTTTCTCTTACTTTCCTCTTGCCTCATTTCTATGGTTCTTTATTTTCCCTTTATTGTACTTTTACTTGTTATATGTTATGTTTACATATAAACACTAGTTTTTATTTTATATAACATTTGCATTCCCTCTTATCTGCTGGCTGATCCATCTTCATCTTGTCACTATGCAAAGGAAGCAGCTTGGACAAAGAAATAATAGAGAAAATAAACAGCCCTGTCCTGATGTTAGTTCATGTAGCATATTTACATTCCAGCAGAGTGTTTATAATCTCTTTACTGTTATTCTATTATCTAAGCTTTTATTTGAGTAACTGACGGAGGAGGCATACACTGCAGCTATTGGCACACGGCGACAGTCTTCTGCTGCTCTAACAAAGCAGTGTGAGGTGCAGCATGTATCTCTGGGGCACTTGGACAGTTAAGTGAATAGAATTGTTCCATCCCCCACATTAACGTCATTAACCGTGGATAAAGTGGATGTGCTGCGGTGCCAAATGTACTGATCATTGACTGTCACTGCTGTGCCACAACTGGAGCCTGCACTGTGATGACCCACTCTTTCCTTAACAAGGCAGCGATGAGACAGAAACCCAAGAAAGATAACTGTCCTACTTAAGTTCAAATGGATTGCTCCACATTTCACACATACAACTTGGTCCTCTGTGTGTTTTTGGCCACCCCCCAAACAGGTATTCTATATATATGTATATTTATATTTATATATACACATATTCTATATATTCTGTGGAATGACAAGACAAAAGTTGAACTTTTTAGAAAGATTAACTTCTGTAACATCTGCTGTAAAAGGAACAACATGGTGGTGGTAGTATTATGGTCTAGGGCTGCCTTGCTGCTGAAAACAAAATGAATCGAAGTGCAGACTTAAATCAGATTGAAATGCTTTGGCATGAAACATGTGGTTCATCTTAAAAAAATCATTAAATGCAGCTGAAAAAAACCAATTCTGCACACAAGACCAGGCCAAAATTCTCCATAGCGATGTGAAAGACTCACTGCCTGAAATCATAATTTTAAACCTGCATTTGGTGTTTACTTGGGTTATCTTTGTCTAATATTTAAATTTATTTGAGCTGTAATAACAAATATGAAACTATGTGACAAATATGCAAAATTAATTTGAAATCAGAAAGGGTGAGCCCAGACCGTTTTTTCACAGCACTGCAGAGACTTTCACCACGTGTATGTGTTGATGGTGGGGTACAGATCAGGAGATTTCAGTACAAATTAATCAAAATTTGAAATGTGAAAGCATTTTTTATTGACCATGAACCTGAATACTATTTATTATTTCATCAGATACATATTACAGTGTGAGAAGAGATAGTAATTTTGACTGCAGTATTAAAGAGTGAGTACACTCTCTAAAAAGCATTACTTTCTTGTTTAAACATGTGTATTTTAATATTCTCTCAGAAGATGTCTGCAATAACTTCTTGTGTTGATCATTGCAACCAGCCATGACAGGAAGGCTAGTTTTGGACAAGTCTGTCAACACAATACAACACAAAAACAGAGGCCCAGGCTGAACGCGAGTGCTGTCCACTGATGAGAGTCAGTGGCATCACGGCTGATGTGATCCCGTTGCTAGACTGTCTATTCATTTGTTTCCTAGGCTCATATATGTACTGTTTATAGCCCACAGTAATTAACCTATCACTTTGCAACAGAAATTAGCACACTTGTTTCTCTCCTTAGCAGCCTCATTAAATTCACATACGTCCATTTAGCCTGATTAAGTAGGTTTGGCTACAGTAGAGAAAACCACAGTGCTATCATTAAGCATCAAACTGG